AGGTTATCGAGGTCCCGGAATCCGAATCCATCACTAGTTTTTCGATCCGAGCTTCCATTGGCCAGAAATTAGGTCCATCAAAAGTTCGACGGCCACAAAGTTAGACTTTATTTCAACTCCGATCTCAGTTCTGATTGAAGTTTGAAATAGGTTATCGAGGTCTGCGAATCCGAATTCGTCATCATTTTTTCGATTTGATCTCCTGTTGGTCAGGAATTGGGTTCATCAAAAAATCGAGCCCTGTAAAATTAGACTTTTTATCGCAACTCCAATCTAAATTCTAATCGAAGTTTGAAATAGGTTATCGAGGTCCAGGAATTCGAATCCGTCATCATCGATTCCAATCCAGGAGATCCAATAGTTGAAGGATGAACCTGGGACGTTGTGTCCCGATAATTAATTCAATAACAAACGGTAACTTATGAAATACGGTTGTTCTTTTATCTTTTTCGACATGTCACAATTATCAATAGACAGGTAATGTCAATCTGGTAAAATGAAGTCAATATTTTCTTTATTTAGGTATGTGGTAATAATCAATTGAGATGCAAGTTTAATATGATAAAATGAATAAATGTTTTTATCTATTCAGGTATATGTGAATAATTGATTTCATGGTAAGTTGAATCTTACAATATAAGGCAGTCTTCCTTTTCTTTGTTTATGATCGCCTTAGCAACAAGTAACGGCGATAACCGTTTCGTGCGAATAAAGGAAAACGTGCTGGCTCGTATTCTGCTCACAAAAATCCAGGTAAATATAACACATACAATTTAGTGGTTCAGCATAGAAATTAGGTTAAGGATAGAATTAAGGGTTAAGGATAGAAGTAAGGGTTAAGGTTAGAATTAAGGATTAAGGATAGAAATAGTAGTTAAGGATAGAATTAAGCGTTAAGGTTAGAAGTAAGGGTTAATGTTAGAAATAAGGGTTAAGGTTAGAATTAATGGTTAAGGATAGAAATAGTAGTTAACGATAGAATTAAGGGTTAAGGTTAGAAATAAGGTTAAGGTTAGAATTAAGGGTTAAGGATAGAAATTAGGTTAAGGTTAGAGATAGTGGTTAAGGATAGAATTAATGGTTAAGGATAGAAATTAGGTTAAGGTTTGAATTAAGGGTTAAGGATAGAAATAGTGGTTAAGGATAGAAATATTGGTTAAGGATAGAAATAAGGGTTAAGGTTAGAATTAAGGGCTAAGCTTAGAATTAGGGGTTAAGGATAGAAATAAGGGGTTAAGGATAGAAATAGTGGTTAAGGTTAGAAATAGTAGTTTAGGATAGAAATAAGGGGTTAAATATGAAATTAACGGCTAGATATAGCATTAGTGGCGAGTACTAGACTAATTGAGTGTGGCGGAGTACATTTTACCACTCTAGAACCATTTTTGGAAGAAAAAGGAAAAGGTTCCAGCTAGAACGAGATTTTGCTTGAACCTTAAATGGTTCTGAAAATGGTACCCAAATCTAGAACATTAAAAGGTTCAGTATGACACCTTTTCTTGAGAGAGTAGTGCATTGCGTAGTGAAAAGATTCTTTACAAGATAGACAGATACTGGAATCACAGGGGAAAAGCACTTCTTCTATGGCAATAAAGGCAAGAAAATAACATACTTACTCTTGATAGTTACTTGACAATTTTTCGATCTAAGTGATCCAACAATATTTCTAATTTCAGCCGAGTATTCTCCTTGGTCTTCATGTTGAGCATTTAGCATGGTTAATGTATATGTGTTGTCGGTATCGCTCGTTGGTGATGTCATACGTAGGCGGTCATCAGATACCAGTATATAATTGTCTCGCATCCAAACTATTCCAGGTTTCGGAGTTCCAGTGATGCTTAGCTGAAGAGTAATCGTTTGTTCTTTCAGGACTTGTAATTCAGTTTTGAGATCAGTTTCTATGGCAGGTTTTATACCAGCAATAGACAGTGCCGTTTTTGCTTCAACTTCACCAACACTATTGCTTGCTCGAGAGGTGTAGACGCCCCCATCGACGAGTTGTGTCTTGTGAATGGTTAGTGTCGATTTTCCATCGCTACTTTCAACTATTTGAAAGCGTTCGTTTGTTCGCATCTGCTGCCCATTGAACCACCATGTTACTTGAGGTTTCTCAATACCGCTGAACTTCCACGTCAGTTGAATGCTCTGGTCAACCACACAAGATTGTTCATTGACTAGTTTTGAAGCGTCAACCTGCGGTTTCACTTGAAACAAGAGAGAATAATATGTACTATATTACAGAGATAAGTGAGATAGTGTACCTCTGGTATTGAGCATGGCTGCTTGTTCCATTCGATCGATTCCATTATCGATGAGCACGCGATATGTACCACTATCTGAAATATCACAATTGTTAACGATGAGTGTGGAGACGTTTTCGTTGGATTCAATCGTGTGCTTGGCAGAGCTTTTGAGTTCGACATCGTTGAAGAACCTGTCGGATAGAAAAAAAAAGAATACTGATATGTAAGGACAGTAAATTGGGGATATACCATGTGACATTAGGTCGTGGATGCCCATTGCATGTGAATCTTAGTGTTCCATTTTCACCGATAAGAACGTTAATATCACATAATGATTGCGTGATATCAAGTGGAACTAGAGAAACAAAGAACAAGATTACGTCTTTTGATACTGGTGAAATATATACAGAACGAGCAACGGTCACTTGATGCACTGAAAGCGTAGAATATATAGGCATCCTTCTGAATGTGCTCCAAAAACTATATCTCAGAAGTTCATAACTTTTTCGAATATTTCAAAAAAGCATAATTTAGCTTAAGAACAGACTATTCAGATGGGGAAAATATAGATTTTCGAATATTTTAATAGCGAATTCAAGTTTGACGAAAATAGAATCGCCGATGCTGGCACCTAAATTAAAATCCGGAACGAGCAGCTCAAACGATATTATCTACTATGAACTATGGATACAAGTTTACGCAACTCAATAATACCAAGCACCGAATGTAAACAAGATCTAGCAGATATCATACCTAAGTTATTCCGAAGTGTTAACGAAAGTCAATATGAAATTGTAGCTAAACCCCCCCCCATAATAAAACCCCCCCCCCCCCCCCGTATTAAAAGCCCCCTCTGGAAGAAGCAATATGAAAGACGTATTAGAAGCCCATGGGCTTGTATTAAGGCCGAGATTTAGAATTTTTTCAAAATCAACCAATTTTCTTCTGAACATTCACAGGACTTGAGTAAATGCTCATCACGCTTTATAAAATTGTTGTATATTCTTCCTTTATCTTTTTCATTATCATACATTCAATCATATGTTTGTAAAGTAAAGTCAAAATAATTCAATGTTATAACTCTACATGAAATAAACATCGATGTACATGACAGAACAATTCTTTAATCTAATTTAAGACGACGAAATTAATACATAACTATCAATTGCACACATATTTTAATGTTTCATAACGCGACCTTTTGAACGAGAGATATGCGCTGAATGAATAGGCTGAATAGACATATATATGGATGAATTGCAACTTTATTGTACCGTTTTGAGAAAAAAATCGATGAAAAAAAAATTTCCGATTTTAGAGATTGGGAGTAGTGCATCTTACTACACTATATGAGAGATCGATATGAATAAATTTTCCCGACTACCACTGTTAAATTGAGTATAGATCGTGTATACGCATCTTTCACAGTAAATTTATTAACTCGTGAGGAATGTGTTAGAATTAGTTCGCGTGAGTAGTGATGGTCACTTAAACATGAAAGCGACTAATATGCCCTTTATTCACCTTAATCTCAGTTACTGGATAGTTATCCACATAAAAATCTCATCTGGCACTTTTTTGAAAAAATCTCGTGTGACAGTTTGCCAACAATCTCGTGTGACATTTTTACACTATTTTCCTCTCTATTATGCGAAAGGAGCATTTTCTAACCGTGATATTTTCAGCAATATCTGGCCACAACTAACAAATAAAATGATAAAAATTTCAGCTCAATATGCCTTAATTTACAAGAGTTAATACGACACACAAAGTATGAAATCTCGTGTGACATTTAGTGTGACAACTATATTTTCAAATTTTATTTAATGTCCCTTTCTTAATAAGAATAAGTAAAACTTTCGAATCATCTTTGGTAGTTTTATTCCCCACTGATAAGCTTTCATTCAAAACCAATCCGACAAATTTTGAATGCTTTGTTATATAGCAAAGGCGTTTTTAAATCTCGTGTGACACCATATTGACCATTGACGGTACACCTGATATTCGGAAAAAAATATAACATAAACTGCGATGAAAGAACTAGCCAGTCTCATATCCATGATGTATACACTGTCCACTGTAAATGTCAAAAACTGTCAAAATTCAAATGACAAGAAACCAATTAGTGATAGGTCATTTTCTGTCCATAGGTGGCAGTAGAAATCAGCCATTTTAACCTTGTGTATGCAGTATCTCGGGATAGGCTAATGATAAATTCGTGATTTTTTGTGTGGTAGTGAGCATCAACTACGGCAGCATACTCCGAAATTTTCATAGAGATTGGCCAAGAGGAACTGAAGTTATTAAAGTTTTACATATGGAACTACGAACGGTACAATAAAGTTGTAATTCATCCATATATACAAACATTTTTCGACGGTATCGTTCATATGTCACTCAATTAAAATATCTTTTTCTCGAATTGTTTTTTCATTAATTATGTACCAAATCGAAGAGCATCTGGCACCGTTACCAGGCGTTGTTACAAACTCACTGTTGGACGAATCCAGTTCCGACGATGATTCCTGCGTTGAAATTACGTCTGTTGTCGATGAAAATGAAAATGAATTAATTAAATTGAGTACTTATTTACAATTTAATTCGGACAGTGACGATGATAGCGATGAAAATTATTCTTCAACTTAACCTGCACCACTCGTTAATTATTCGTCGTCAGAATCATCTACTGATGATGAAAACTTATTACAATCATCTCATCAATCTGCATCTTCTAATAACAACAGTAATGTCGATAGTATGTCTTCATCAACATCAACCATCATGAAAAAGCGTAAGCGACGTCAATGGACTTTAAATGAAAAATTAAATGCAATCGCCTGCTTCGAAAAAAACAACAACAAACACCAAACAGCCAAGGACGTTGGATGTGCTACAAAACAACTTCGCCTGTGGATCCAGAATAAAGATAAATTATTAAAATTGGCATCTCAAAAGAAAGGTGAATAATCCATTTTTATTAAATATAAAAAGTAACTCAAGCTCTAATTTTGTTTCCATCAGGTAAAAAACGCAAGCGTCTTGGTGGAGGTGGTAAAAAATTAACTTACTTGGAACTTGATTCTCGTTTATTTGCCTGGTATCGTCAAAAACGTACTGATCCTGGATCGACAACAATATCTGCTTCTGATATTCGTAAGGAAAGAGTAACATTTCGTCAACTTCAACGCTGTGGACGACAATTAAGTGGAGAATTAAATCACCCATGTCCATCACCAAAATGGTTTGGTCGTTTTCTGGTTCGTCATCGACTCTCTCTTCAACGTCCAAAACAACAACAGAAGATTCCACTCAATGATGTTCATCAAAAAGCAACTTCATTTTATACCTTTCTTCGACGAGCAAGTCGATGGGCTCCAAAACGTGGCCCAATGGGGGCCTTTACCCCACGTGACGTCTTCAACATGGACGAATCTCCACTTGCATTGTTCGGCGATCAAGCAAAACGATCAATCAATGATATCAACACTTGCAATGAAGTAGAAGGATGCTTGAGTAACAAAGTGAGTACTTTTCTTTTTCTACAGCACACAACAAATTTTTCATTCGAGGTGAGTTTTTGTATACAATTTACAGATAATTTTTCGTAGATCTGTAAAACGCTGACATGACAGGCTTCAGACCTAGTTAAAGTTTGTGTTATCAGATCTACACATCCCTTAACAAGAACCATTAATATAATTACAATTCTTCGTTAAATTTGTAGGAAGGGCTACACAAAGAATTATTTCATTTTCTATTTTCTACTTTATTTTGTTTTTTCATTCAGAGATTTTGTACGGTCATTCTCACAGTGTCAGGTCAAGATCAACGTATTGATCCTGTTTTATTATTCAAAGGGAAGGGTCATGTTTTGCCTAATGAACAGAATCAATATGCCAAGGGTGTCAAGGTGTTCTTCACTGCCGAAGGTGTTATCAATATTACAACGATGAATAAATACAATGAATGGTTCATTTCCAAAGTAAGACATTTCTAACTTTTCTGAATAGAACTCTTCCGAATTATACGTTCGATCCAACTATAGTCGATTCCCCATTATTACATATTGATGAATCCGACGACAATCATGAAGAACAACAGCAAATAGCAATTCAAGCAAAACTAGCTGAAGATCAGAACAAAAATTTATCAAATCAGAAAAATAAACAATTAAAATTAACTCATTTTTGGAAAAAGTAATGTAACTAAATTAATTTCTTTAAAACTTCTTCTTTCTTTTCTTGTTTTTT